CAATGCTCCTTAAGGCCCATTCCACCTCACTCCTCAGGATGTCTGGTTCTAATTATAAATATAAACATATAAATATAAACATGCCTAAAAACAAGGTGCGTCTTAGAATCGCAGCCATATCTTTATTAAAAGCCGTAAGTTAATTAAAAACAAATTATAATAAAAGCTGGGTATATGAGAAGCAAGCAAATGTAAAAAGGGAACCAAAGTTCCAAAGGTTTTGTCTGTAAAAGTCCAAAAATCTATTCAAAGAAAGTCCCTAAAACAATTCCCCTGAGATATTCCAAGACAAGGCACATAAATTCAAGGCAGGCAAAACGATGCCTCACAAGACCAGGGCGCAGAAACCGCTTGAAAACTTGATTACATGAATTCCAAGGCCAATGACACCGAGAGCTCTGCACCTGAATGCAACATTGTTCTCACAAGGAGTATACCAGCATGAACCACTTTTAAAATGCCAAAATCCCTCCCATGAGATCGTTTCTTCTGCACCTGCTCTCCTGCTTATCTCTGAGTTGCTTGGAGAAGCGAGTCCTTAATTGCAGACCCTGTTCTCTCAACTCCGATCTCTCTGACCTTCACAAACATTCATCTCCCACATTTCCCCCTAGTCTGAACTTCTGGCAGGTTCCTATGGGAACGGATCTTGCCTTCACCGTTCTCTTGGGAATGGGAACTGCCAGGAGATTTCAAAACATATTTCTCAGCATTCTCTTCCTCATCTTCTGAGCACACAGAATCTGACAAGAGGCCCAGAGGCTGCCAAGGGCACATACCTTCAAGCAGCAGTGCTGGATGGCCGTCCCGGGCCCCACGGCCACCGCTCCCTCCAAGAGGCTGTTGGTGACGGAGCAGCCCTCCTCCAGAAGCTCAGGTTCCTGCAGCAAAACAGGGAGGAAGAGGAGGAGAAGACTGGGGAGACCCATAGGGAGGGAAGGCACCCAGGAGCCTGATGACCCCAAGCAGAGCTCCCCAAACTACGGCCCGCGGTCCAGATACAGCCCTCCAAGGCCATTCACCTATGGGAACTACTGTTGGGGCTAGAGCAGGCATGGGCAAAACACAGCCCTCCAGGTGTTCCAGACTCCAACTCTGTCTGAATGATGGTGTGGCTCATAGCAGGATTGGGCTGCTGTCCATCCACCTGCCCTCAGGGTGCCTCAGCCTATTTGGCCCCCATTTGATCCACAGGGAGACCCCCCTCCCCCCAAGAACCACAAAGAGACCCTGCACCCCGACCTGAAAAGCAATGACCTCGACACTGAACACTGGATTAATTCAATTTTTAAAATCTAGCGTCATGCTCCAGGATTACATCCTTGAAAGAACAATAATAATAATAATAATAATAATAATAATAACTACTACTACTACTACTACTACTTTATTTTTATACCCCGCCTCCATCTCCCCAAAGGGACTCAGGGCAGCTTACATGGGGCCAAGCCCAGTAACACAGAGTTAAAAACATAGCATATAAAATATAACAGTAATGTTTACAATAAAAACATTAGCAAAAAAGAAAAAGAGGCACCACACCCCAGGGACTCACCTCCACGTGGGAATGGGCCACTTTGCAGAAGGAGCCGCCGTGGGCGTTCCCCACGGAAGTCGTGAGGTGGCGGATGTGGTCGCTGGCAGAGGCGGTCATGTAGTCGTAGCTGCCGTCCGGGATGTAAACTGCACAAAAACAAGGAGAAACGGGGGTGCCCCCACTAGGAGTGAACACCCCGAAGGGAAAGAATCCTGGACGAGCCCCCAGTGGAAACTTTGTCATGCTCTCCAGAGGCGCATGCTCCGAAGGGGGTCTTCCCCGTGACATCTGCCTGTTAACGGGGCTGTGGCAGTCGTTAGGGGAAAAATAAAATAATAATAATAATTCAAAGATCCTTACCTGAATTCAGACGGCTCAAGAGAGATTTGCATATTAAGAGAAAAACTGACAGATGGTATGGATCGATAGAGAGGTCAACATGACTGGCCAAAGTTACATGTTTACACAGGCCGAATGTTTATTTTAGCTAAATGAGGACATATGAAGAAACCACCAAAGAACTGGCAGCACGCAGAAATCAATATATATCGATCCAAGACTTGGAACATCTAAGGCCATATGGTGAGAGAGCGCCACCTCCTGACTATTTAATGTAAATAGCAGGCAATTTCAGAAACATTTCATTTAAAAGTCAGTTCCTTTGGTTTTCATATTAAAACAAAGTAATTGAGGCTGAATTTAACTAAAAAGAGCTTACCTTGATCAAATCTTATGTTGTAAGTATATAAAACTATAAATCATTGAGAGAGTTAAAGAAATTGAAGCAATTGGTAAAAGTTGAAAAGTTATATAACCAAGCAGATGTTTGGGGTCACTTCGTACCTGCCAAAAACCTGATAGAGATGTCCTTGGCAACTATATATGAAAAATAACTGTTAATGATTGTACTGTGTAAATGGACATTTCTGCGCATGTGTAAACCAGTGACTTTATGCTATAAATACTGAGGCAAGTCCGACTTCCAACTTGTGACAATCATTGTGATCTGTACACCCTATCTTGCTTGATAGTAAAGCCTGAAATCGACTGCTGTCTCCGTTCTCTTCCTTCCTGATTGTGCTCTAAATGATCTCGGGTAACGTATATTCCTAACAGCCTACTTTTAAGTCTCCCTCTACCCTTGGACATCTTCCATCTTAGAGTCAATATCTCTCTGTTCTGCCCAGAACTGGACACAGTGTGATTCCAGGTGAGGTCCAATTCTGGATAATAATGATTGGAAGAAACCACATGGGACATCCAGTCCAACACTACACTGCCATTCAGGAAAAGCACAATCAAAGCACCCACAACAGATGGCCAATGCCCATACCCACCCATCCAAATGGTCACCACATTCTAAGGGGGCCCTTTAGACGTGATGGAGGGAGGCGGCGAGGGCACTCACCCATGGTCAGGGGTATGGTGTGCAAGGACTTCCAAAGCACAGCTCGGGCGTTCCGGAGGGCCACCTCACTCTGAGTGTCGTCTCCGCTGCCACTGCCGGTCTGAGGGCCAAGGCCGTTCACGAAGGCCTCCTCGCTCACTTTGCAGGCCATGGAGAGAAGGATGTCGAAGAAGAGAGAGAGCTGGTTGGGGAGAGAGAAGGAAGGGGAAAAGCAGCAAGTGAGGGAAGGCACCCAGGAGCGTGATGACCCCAAGCAGGGCTCCACAAACTACGGCTCGAGGTCCGGACGCAGCCCTCCAAGCCACATTTTTCTAAATCCAATCATCACAAGGACCAGAAGTGAGGTGAACTCTTCTGAAGAAGAGCACAGGCAGCAAAGGAATCCCCACAGGACTGGTTCTAGTGATGTTGGGAATGACAATGACAGTGTTGTTTCTAATGATGAGGGTGTTTTAGATGCAGAGAACGACAACGAGATGCCTGCTCAAAGTGTCTTTGCAGATGAGAATGTTTCTGAAGAGTTGGGGGATGATGGGATGGTCTCTGGAAAAGCACCTGCATTGCCACCAGGCCTTTGAGCCTGAGAAAACAGCTGCGGAAGTTAATGAGCCAGAAGATAGATGGTTTGTTTTCAGACAGAACAGGAGTGTTCAACAATCTCTCCGGAGCTCTGACAGGTTGAGAGAAAAACTGATAACAGAGTCTAGGCTTAATAGAAACAAGTTTCTGGCAGGGATTTACAGTAGATTAGGGGATAAAAAGTGCCAAGTGCAGAATCTATGGTCAGACGAAGCAACGTTGGAACTGGATCAAGACGTAGTGGCGTACCTTGCAGTCTTGCCTTGGAAAGATTAAAATATTTATTTATTAATTGTGTCAGGAGCAAACTAAACAGTTGTACTGCATTTTTTAACAAACAAACAGACAGACAAAACACAAAGTTTGCAAGCTTGGTAGTTGATTAAATGTCTTTGGGCAGTCTCTGGCCCCTTGGAGTGCTTCTGGTGTTGCCGCAAGAAGGTCTTCCCTTGTGCATCATGTGGAAGAAGGTCTCAGGGTGCATTGCAGCAGGTGGTCAGTGGTTGGCTCTTCTCCACACTCGCATGTTGTGGATTCCACTTTGTGGCCCCATTTCTTAAGGTTGGCTCTGCATCTCGTGGTGCCAGAGCGCAGTCTGTTCAGCGCCTTCCAAGTCGCCCAGTCTTCTGTGTGCCCAGGGGGGAGTCTCTTATCTGGTATCACCCACGGATTGAGGTGCTGGGTTTGGGCCTGCCACTTTTGGACTCTCGCTTGCTGAGGTGTTCCAGCGAGTGTCTCTGTAGAGCTTAGAAAACTATTTCTTGATTTAAGTCGTTGATGTGCTGGCTGATACCCAAACAGGGGATGAGCTGGAGATGTTTCTGCCTTGGTCCTTTCACTATTGGCTGCTACTTCCCGGCGGATGTCAGGTGGTGCAATACCGGCTAAGCAGTGTCATTTCTCCCATGGTGTAGGGAGATATAAGGAGCTAGCCTTGAGACTCATATTTGGGAGAAAAGTATCTGTTGCATTTTGGTGGTGGATGCTGCTGGTTTTCTCCCCAGGTTTGTTGGATTTTGGTGGTGGACGTTGCTGGTTTTCTCCCCAGGTCTGTTGGATTTTGGTGGTGGACATTGCTGGTTTTCTCCCCAGGTCCGTTGGATTTTGGTGGTGGACGTTGCTAGTTTCCCCCCCAGGTCTGTTGGATTTTGGTGGTGGACGTTGCTGGTTTCCCCCCTAGGTCTGTTGCATTTTGGTGGTGGACGTTGCTGGTTTTTCCCCCAGGTCTGTTGCATTTTAGTGGTGGATGCTGCTGGTTTTCTCCCCAGGTCTGTTGGATTTTGGTGGTGGACGTTGCTGGTTTTCTCCCCAGGTCTGTTGGATTTTGGTGGTGGACGTTGCTGGTTTTCCCCCTAGGTCTGTTGGATTTTGGTGGTGGATGCTGCAGGTTTCCCCCCTAGGTCTGTTGGATTTTCGGTATCCTGCCCTGTCTCCTGTAATCTTGGAATCCTGGAACCTTGAACCTTTGGACTGGCTTTTGACTACGGCATAGACTCTTGATCCCTGGATTTTGTTTATTGAACTCTCGGCATTTGACCACTGGACTGGACCCTTTTGACTACGGTTTTTGTTTATTCTGTGGCTGGGTGCTATCTTTATGTCTTATATTTTGGACTATATAAACAGCCAGCAAGTAAGTGCTGTTTTAATTAAACTGTTTGATAAAACTGGGAGTTTGATTCATCTCTACCTAAATAAGGCAGAGCCCTGGCAACGTGACAAGGAGGAGCCAGGGATGAGAATAGAGAGCCCTCTATGTCCCTATGAGGAGGGTGCGGGTGCGTGAGTGGCTCACCTGGATTGGGGGGGCGCCCGAGTCCAGGCCCAGGTAGGTGCAGGCGTTGAGCGGGGGGATGACGTGGGTGGCCAGGAGCTGCTCTGCTGCTTCGGAGGAGGAGAAGAAGACGATGCCGCACACCTGAACGCACCATAGATGCCCGGAAAGGAAGGAGAGAACGCATTACTTCTCCCCCCACCACAGCAACCACACCCTTGGAGCCTGCAGACCCTTTGCGACCCCCACTCACCAGCGGGACCTTCCCATCGGAGCCCGCGCACTGCTGGATCTGGTCTTCGGAGCCTTGGTAGAGGATGTCTTGCACAAACCCCTGCAGAGGCAACAACGGTGAGCTGGAGCACCTCTGGGGGCAGTCAGTCTCGCTTGGGCTGCATTTGCCTTCTTGGGGAGGCTCTAGGACACAGTCAAGGGACATTTGCCACCGAGAATTGATATTACCTGCCCGTCCGCCAGGTAGACCCCGTGCTGCTTGGCGTAGGAGACGCTGCCGGGCACCGCGATTACCCTGGCGCCCGTGAAGCCGTGCCAGTCGATCTCTGTGGAGAAAGGAGGCGCTCCAGGTTCAAGGGTTGGCCCCGCGCAGGGAGACCCCCCTCCCCATCATCACTCCCACCTCTGCTATATATGTTTGTATATCTGTGAATATATGAGTATCTGTGCATATATACATATGGGTATGTATAGAAGTGTATGTGTAATATGTATTATTATTATTATTATTATTATTATTATTATTACTTCTACCCCGCTGGACACTCAAAGTGAATTAACATAAAAGCATCCGCATACAATTTGAAATGCAAACACTGAAACCGAATTAAATATAAGTATTTTTAAAATCACAGTTAAAATCCATTATATATATATACGAGGAAACAAAACTCAAAACCCCCCCAACGAAACTTAACCAAAATTCCCATGCCCATAACACAACCCACAAGGTACAAACATATCTACTCAAAATGAAAAACAACACAACAACACACTCACAAAACGGAAAAACAACAAAACTCAAAAATCCCCCAACGAAACTTAACCAAAATTCCCATGCCCATAACACAACCCACAAGGTACAAACATATCTACTCAAAATGAAAAACAACACAACAACACACTCACAAAACGGCAAAACAACAAAACTCAAAAAAACCCAAACGAAACTTAACCAAAATTCCCATGCCCATAACACAACCCACAAGGTACAAACATATCTACTCAAAATGAAAAACACAACAACACACTCACAAAACGGCAAAACAACAAAACTCAAAAATCCCCCCAACGAAACTTAACCAAAATTCCCATGCCCATAACACAACCCACAAGTACAAACATATCTACTCAAAATGAAAAACAACACAACAACACACTCACAAAACGGCAAAAGGATAAAACTCAAAAACCACCCAACGAAACTTAACCAAAATTCCCATGCCCATAACACAACCCACAAGGTACAAACATATCTACTCAAAATGAAAAACAACACAACAACACACTCACAAAACGGCAAAAAAACAAAACTCAAAAAACCCCCAACGAAACTTAACCAAAATTCCCATGCCCATAACACAACCCACAAGTTACAAACATATCTAGCATATCTACTCAAAATGAAAAACAACACAACACACTCACAAAACGGCAAAACAACAAAACTCAAAAAACCCCCAACGAAACTTAACCAAAATTCCCATGCACATAACACAACCCACAAGGTACAAACATATCTACTCAAAATGAAAAACAACACAACAACACACTCACAAAACGGCAAAACAACAAAACTCAAACCCCCCCCCCCTGCCGCACACACACACGCAACCCCACGCTCCATCACTCCCCCCGCCACCGCACACACACACGCAACCCCACTCCCCCCGCCGCCACACACACACACAACCCCACGCTCCATCACTCCCCCCACCGCCGCACACACACGCAACCCCACTCCCCCCGCCGCCGCACACACACACGCAACCCCACGCTCCATCACTCCCCCCCCGCCGCCGCACACACAACCACCCCACTTCCCCCCCCGCCCCACCCACACCAACCCCACCCCACCCCCCCCCCGCCGCACACACACACGCAACCCCACGCTCCATCCCTCCCCCCGCCGCTGCACACACACACACAACCCCACGCTCCATCACTCCCCCACCCCAATCTTACCTCCTTTTACTTCACGCCACCTCCAAACCCCACCCCGCCCCTTCCCGCCCTGTCAAAATCTAGGAAAGACAGGAAGGAAGGAAAGAAGGAAGAAAGAGAAAGGGAGGAAAGAAAAAGGGGGAGAGGAAGGAAAGAGGGAGAGAAGGAAAGAAGGAAAGAGAGAAGGAAGAAAAGAGACAGCAGAAGAGAAAGAAAAAGGGGGAAGGAAGGAAAGAGATAGAGAAAGAAGAGAAGGAAAGATGGGAGGGAAGGAAGGAAGGAAGGAGGGAAAGAAGGAGAGAAAGAGGGAAGATTGGCCACAGCAACACGTGGCGGGTAAAGGTTGTTATTTCTATTATTATTATTATGATGCTATTGTTCCTCTGAGACCCTTTTAGGGGGAATGGGAGAGGTGTCAGGTCCCAGAGGCAATGCATTGCATTATTGTTATTGTTATGATGGTGGTGAAATAAAAGGAAATAAAAAGAGAAAGAAGGAAGCAAACAGGGAGGGAAGAAAGGCAAAGGAAGAAAGGGGAAGGGAATGAAGGAAAGAGAGAAGGATGAAACCAAGTAGTGAAAGAAGGAAAGAAAGAAAGAGGTAGAGAAAGGGGGAGGAAAAGGGGGAAGGAATAGGTAGGGACCTCTCTTTCATAATAGTCAAGATATCTATCTCAACTTTGAAGGGGGAAGGAATAGGTAGGGACCTCTCTTTCATCATAGTCCAGGTATCTACCTCAACTTTGATAAGTTTTACTATAGGCCACAGCAACGCGTCTTTTGGACTTCCACAATCCCTAGCAACCTGTTGTTGTTGTTGTTGTTGTTGTTGTATATATATCTGTGTATATGTGTATGGGTACTTGTGTGCATCTGTACATATGTATTTATATTTTATATTACGTGTAATATTACTAATAATATTGCAATATAATGGTATAGTACAATATAGTGATGTATAGCGCTGATATTGCACTGTGCTAATGGTATAATCATGTATTGTATGTATATATATAAATCTTGTAAGCCGCTCTGAGTCCCCTTCGGGATGAGAAGGGTGGCATAGAAATGTCACAAATAAATAAATAAATAAATAAATTTGTATAGGTTTATGTATATATGTGTATGTGAATATCTGTATTTCTATATATGTCTGTGTCTATGGAACTGTGTATGTTTATGTGTATCTGTGCATATGTGTTTGTATATATATGTATGTGTATCTGGGTATGTATGTGTATGTGTATATGTGAATATATGTAGGTTTTATGTGTATATCTGTATATGTGTCTGTATATAGGTGTATGTGTATATGTGTCTGTATATGTGTGTATATGGATCTGGGTATGTGTATATTGCATGGGTGTATGCATATGTTTATGTGTATATCTGTATACGTGCCTGTATGAGTACATGTGTTTGTATATACGTGTATGTGTATCTGGATATGTATAGCTGAGTATGTGTATATTGCATGGGTCTTTGTATATGTTTATGTGTATATCTGTATACGTGTCTGTATATATGTGTATGTGTGTATGTGTTTGTATAGGTGTATGTATATCTGGGTATGTGTATATGTGAATGCATATGTTTATGTGTATATCTGTATATGTGCCTGTATATATGTGTACGTATATCTGGGTATGTATATATCTGTATGTGTATCTGGGTATGTGTATATGTGAATGCATATGTTTATGTGTATATCTATATGTTTCTGTATATATGTGTATGTGTGTATGTGTTTGTATATAGGTGTATGTGTATCTGAGTATGTGTATATGTGAATGCATATGTTTATGTGTATATCTATACGTGTCTGTATATATGTGTGTATGTGTTTGTATATATGTGTATGTGTATCTGGGTATGTGTATATGTGAATGCATATGTTTATGTGTATATCTGTATACGTGCCTGTATATCTGTGTATGAGTACATGTGTTTGTATATATGTGTATGTGTATCTGGGTATGTATATATCTGTATGTGTATCTGGGTATGTGTATATGTGAATGCATATGTTTATGTGTATATCTGTATATGTGCCTGTATATCTGTGTATGAGTACATGTGTTTGTATACATGTGTATGTGTATCTGGGTATGTATATATCTGTATGTGTATCTGGGTATGTGTATATGTGAATGCATATGTTTATGTGTATATCTGTATATGTGCCTGTATATGTGTGCATGAGTACATGTGTTTGTATACATGTGTATGTGTATCTGGGTATGTATATCGGTGTATGTGTATATTTGAATACGTGTATGTGTATATCTGTATCTGTGTCTGTATACCTGTGTATGTGCTCGTATATGATCCACTTCCTGCCTGTCAATGAAGGGGCCGCCCGATCGCAGAGCTCCGCCGAAAGAGGGACAGATTACAATCCAGGTCAAACCCAGATTAATCCCTCTCAAGGCCAGTTCCAGATCTTTGCTGCTTGTCCCACTTCCCTGGGCAGACTTACTGGGCACAGAAGGCACCGCCAGGAGCATGTCCGTGCTGCACACCCACACGCCGGGCGGGGAGCCCCTGCACACCTGCGAAAAAAGAGAGGGGGGATTATTGGGGGTCAGAGACAAACATTATTGCACGTGGAAGGAAAGTCTGACCGCAGGCATGGGCCAACTTTGGCCCGCCAGGTCTTTTGGACTTCCACAGTCCCTAGCAACCTGTTGTTGTTGTTGTTGTTGTTGTTGATATGTTTAGTTATAGCCTGCTTTACTCTCCACATGGAGACTCCCCTTGGATGGACCCTAGGTGACTTTGGACCTCAACAGCGATGCCCTGGTCAGTCACCAAATGGATTTGCCACGCTCCTTTTCCAACTGTTGACCCCACAGGGAGAGATGGGCCTGGACTTGGGACCCCTCCCCACTGACTGACCTGTCGGGTCAAGGTGGCCAGGAGGTTGTCCAGGTTGCAGGTGAGGGCCTCCACCGGGGCAGAAGGGTCCTCCAAAGGCAGGCAGGTAAAGGCGCGGCTGCAGTCGTCCAAGGAAAAGTCCCGGCCCTGGTCAAGCAAGGAGAGAAGTGGGAAAGTCAAAGCATGATGGAAAGAATACATACAAGGGTTGAATGAAAAGTCATGCCTCCCCCTTCGTAACTCCTCAGCAGATGGCAGTACTAGTATGCGGCAGGTACTGGCTTGTTCAGTAGACTCTCCTCTACAGTTCCATTTAGGCAGGAAGCCTTAGCATTGAACGGTTGAGTTGTTAAAGTGAAAAGTAATGCCTCCCCCTTCGTAACTCCTCCACAGATGGCAGTACTGGTATGCGGCAGGTACTGGCTTGTTCAGTAGACTCTCCTCTACAGTTCCATTTGGGCGGGAAGCCTTAGCATTGAACGGTTGTGTTATTAAAGTGTAAAGTATGGAACCCTGCACAGATGGTTGGTCAATGCAACTTAAGCAATGTATGAGGCAGGTACTGGCTTATTCAGTAGACTCTCCTCTACAGTTCCATTTGGGCGGGAAGCCTTAACATTGAACAGTTGTGTTGTTAAAGTGCGAAGTATGGAACACTGCGCAGACGGTCAGTCAATGCGACTTAAGCAACGTATGCGGCAGCTACTGGCTTGTTCAGTTGACTCTTCTCTACAGTTCCATTTGGGCGGGAAGCCTTAGCATTGAACGGTTGTGTTGTTAAAGTGAAAAGTAATGCCTCCCCCTTCGTAACTCCTCAACAGATGGCAGTACTGGTATGAAGCAGGTACTGGCTTGTTCAGTAGACTCTCCTCTACAGTTTCTTTAGGGAGAGGGGCAAGAGGGCTCTTCTGGCATCGGCCGCTCATTCCTACGGCCTGGATCCTGCAAAATGGGCAGGGCAGCCCCCTCCCAAGACCCCCCAAAAAGCCCCCAACTCACTCACCATGTGCAGGATGAGGATCCAGGCATTCTGCAAGACGTCAGAGGTGACCACCTGGAAATATATAAACACACCTTTCATTTCTATCTCATCCAGAGGTTTATCCTTTTATGCTCTGCATATGGCCCACCCTCTCTGTCTGATTTTTCGTTGTGTTCTTTGCACTGTTGATTACTTGAATGTTTTATTTATTCCATTGTGATGTTATTTCTTATTGATCTGTATTTTATTTTGCTGCCGTGTCCCATCGGGCTTGGCTACATGTCAATCACTCCTTTGACATGAAGTCCGGTCGTGTCTGACTCTGGGACTCTGGTGCTCATCTCCATTGCTAAGCCGAAGAGCCGGCCTGGGCCAATCTTTTGTTGAGAGGTCCTTTTGTTGAGGTGTCCTTGATTGTTTCCTCCATGTCAGACAACACAGAGAAGCCACTGAAATCCACAAGAAGCATGTGGACAATGTCAACAGAAAGGAGGAAACCATGAAAATGAACAAAATCTGGCTACCAGTATTAAAAAACTCTAAAATTGCAACAGCAAAACAACCGAGAGGAAACAATCAGGGACATCTAATCACCTCTCAACAAAAGATTGCCCCAGGCACTGCCAGGCCATCAAATGCTAATCATGGTGGTCAGTTGAAGCATTCACACCTAGCTCCAGCAGACAAGAGTCCTTTGTCCCACCTTGGTCATTCCACAGATATATAAACCTACTTTCCTACTTCCAACAGACCTCACGACCTCTGAGGATGCTTGCCATAGATGCAGGCGAAACGTCAGGAGAAAATGCCTCTAGGACATGGCCATATAGCCCGGAAAAACCTACAACAACCCCGTGATTCCGGCCATGAAAGCCTTCGACAATACATTAATACTCATACCTCTACGGATGGAGTTACACATACAAAAAGCTCCTGTTCCGACTTACAAACAAATCCAACTGAAGAATGACCCTAGAGAATGGATCTTCTCCGTAAATTGGGGACTGCGTGTATTAAACACAAAGCAACTTAATCAAAGCAACAATGCTCATGAATAACCGATAACCATGCTGACACTAGCCAAGCGTGGGCGGAGCATCGCCATCTCACCGTGTGCCCGGCCCGTGCGCTCAGGTGCTCGGCCGCCACCAGCAGGGCGTTGAGTGTGGCCCCTCCGCTGCCCACCTGGACTTTGGGGTCTTCAACGGTCAGCAGAATGGGGTTCTGGCCCAGGAAGCCTCTGGCGCGGCGCACCTCCAGCTCTGAAGGCATCGCATGGGACGCGCACCGGCAAGGAGAGCAAAACAACATTGCAACCAGAGTTAAATCCAGAATCCAAAACATTGAAAGTCCAGGATATGGAACAGGCTGGGCCCACTTCCGCCCTCCAGGAGTTTTGGACTTCAGTTCCAGTGGTTTTTGAGTTGCATTAATCCCACAAACGAACATTACGTTTTTATTTATATATATATACTAGCCATCCCCTGCCACGCGTTGCTGTGGCCCAGTCTGTGTATATATATCTTTTGTGTGTGTATATATGTATTTATGTGTGTGTATATATTTGTGTATATGTGTGTTTGTGCATATATATATATATATATATATATATATAGGTATATATGTGTGTGTGTGCATATTTGTGTATTCATGTGTTTATATGTGTATATGCATATTGTGTATTTGTGTGTGCTTGTCTATATGCATATTTGTATGTAGATATGTATGTGTATATGTATATGAGTGCATGTATATGTATATATTTATGTGTTCATGCATATATGTGTGTATATATGTATATTTGTGTGCACATGTGTAAATGTATATATGTATGTATACGTATGTGTGTGTACATATGTTATATGTGTGTATATGTGTTTATATGTATATATGCATATTGTGTATATGTGTGCTTGTCTATATGCATATTTGTATGTATATATGTATGTGTGTATGTATATGTGTGCATGTGTATATGTATATATTTATGTGTTCATGCGTATATGTGTGTGCATGTGTATATGTATATACGTATGTATATGTATGTGTGTGTGTGTGTACATGTGTATATTTGTTTGTGCTTGTGCATATATATATATATATATATATATACGTGTATGATTCTATGTATGTGTATATGTATATATGTATGTGTGCATGTGTATATGTGTATATATAAGTATATTTGTGTGTGCATGTGTAAATGTATATATGTAGGTATATGTATGTGTGTGTACATGTGTATATTTGTTTGTGCTTGTGCATAAATATACGTGTGTGTATGATTCTATGTATGTGTATATGTATATATGTATGTGTACATATGTTATATGTGTGTATATGTGTTTATATGTATATATGCATATTGTGTATATCTGTGCTTGTCTATATGCATATTTGTATGTATATATGTATGTGTGTATGTATATGTGTGCATGTGTATATGTATATATTTATGTGTTCATGCGTATATGTGTGTATATATGTATATTTGTGTGTGCATGTGTATATGTATATACGTATGTATATGTATGTGTGTGTGTACATGTGTATATTTGTGTGTGCTTGTGCATATATATATATATATACGTGTATGATTCTATGTATGTGTATATGTATATATGTATGTGTGCATGTGTATATGTGTATATATAAGTATATTTGTGTGTGCATGTGTAAATGTATATATGTAGGTATATGTATGTGTGTGTACATGTGTATATTTGTTTGTGCTTGTGCATATATATATGTGTGTGTATGATTCTATGTATGTGTATATGTATATATGTATGTGTGCATGTGTATATATGTGTGTATATGTATATTTGTGTGTGCATGTTTATATGTGTGTGTATATATGTATATGTATGCGTGCATGTTTATATGTGTGTATATATGTATATTTGTGTGTGCATGTATATGTGTGTGTACATATGTATATTTGTGTGTGCTTGTGCATATATATACGTGTGTATGAATGTGTGTATATGTGTATGAATGTATGTATATATGTATATGTGATGTATTTTTTGGGTTTTTAAGTCTGTTCTGCTTTGGGGGGGGGTTGTTTTTTGGGGTGGTGGACACTCGTTGGACTGTTATGTGTATTGTGTCAAAATTTTGTGTCAATTTGACCAGTGGTTTCTGAGTTGTGTTAATCCCACAAACGAACATTACATTATTTATTTATTTATTTATTTAGATAGATAGATAGACAGATATATAGGTAGGTAGGTAGGTAGGTAGGTAGGTAGGTAGGTAGGTAGATAGATAGACATATCTACCTTTCTGGAAGGCGGAGGCGCTGTCCTTGTGCTGGCAGGTGAGGGCCACCACCGTCCAGTCGACCCCTTCGGCCGCCATCCTTCTTTCCCACTGGGCCTGGAAGGAAGGAAGGAAGGAAGGAAGGAAGGAAGGAAGGAAGGAAGGAAGGAAGGAAGGGAGGGAGGGGTGACCATGCTGAGGAAGGGCCACCCAATCCCTCCACCATTTGGCCCCTTCCTTCCTGTCTCAAAGGCCTCCCTTGCTTGACCCATGGGCAACAAAGCCCTTGGCATGAAGGGGGTGACTGGGAAGTGGGGTGCTCAGTCACAGCCCTAAGCAGGGATGGGTCTCAATAATGGCAATATGGGACACCCGAAGGCCCACGTCACCCACAAGGAGGGAGGGATGTGCCACAAAAATTTGATATGTGTGGGAATGAAGGGAAGATGCATGGGTGGAGTTAATGGTTTGAGGGACGCCAGGACAATATTCAGGCCTGCAATGGCTAACTACCTGCTTGCTGGACTGTAATCTGAAGAGTGAACTCTGATAAGAATTGGGACTGTGATAACAGAAATGTTTACAATGTTAAGAAGGAAGTCAACACAAGCCTTGTGTTTGTCAACACCAATCACGAAGAGTCAACATCTGGCCAGGAAACTGAGGGTGGAGCCAAGATGGAAGATGTCACAGAATCCCAGAATCCTAGAAGAGTTGGAAGAGACCAACTCCTGGGCCATCATCCAGTCCAACCCCCTTCTGCCAAGAAGCAGGAATATCGCATTCAAAGCACCCCTGACAGATGGCCACCCAGCCTCTGTTTCAAAGCTTCCAAAGAAGGAGCCTCCGCCACACTCCCTCCGCGGCAGAGAGTTCCACTGCTGAACAGCTCTCACAGTCAGGAAGTTCTTCCTCATGTTCAGATGGAATCTCCTCTCTTGGAGTTTGAAGCCATTCTTCCATTGCGTCCTAGTCTCCAAGGAAGCAGAAAACAAGCTTGCTCCCTCCTCCTCCCTGTGGCTTCCTCTCACATATTTATCCATGGCTATCATGTCTCCTCTCAGCCTTCTCTTCTTCAGGCTAAACATGCCCAGCTTCTTAAGCCGCTCCTCATAGGGAACTCCAAGAAGCAGGAATATTGCATTCAAAGCACCCCTGACAGATGGCCATCCAGCCTCTGCTTAAAAGCCTCCAAAGAAGGAGCCTCCGCCACACTCCCTCCGGGGCAGAGAGTTCCACTGGTGAACAGCTTTCCTGACACCTAGCCCGTCCCTCTCCTTCTTTGCAGGAAAAGCACAACCAAAACACCCCCGACAGATGGCCACGCAGCCTCAGCGTCAAAGCCTCCAAGGAAGGAGTTTCTATCAAACTCCGAGGCAGAGAGTTCCACTGGTGAACAGCTTTCCTGACACCTAGCCCGTCCCTCTCCTTCTTTGCAGGAAAAGCACAACCAAAACACCCCCGACAGATGGCCACGCAGCCTCAGCGTCAAAGCCTCCAAGGAAGGAGTTTCTATCAAACTCCGAGGCAGAGAGTTCCACTGGTGAACAGCTTTCCTGACACCTAGCCCGTCCCTCTCCTTCTTTGCAGGAAAAGCACAACCAAAACACCCCCGACAGATGGCCACGCAGCCTCAGCGTCAAAGCCTCCAAGGAAGGAGTTTCTATCAAACTCCGAGGCAGAGAGTTCCACTGGTGAACAGCTTTCCTGACACCTAGCCCGTCCCTCTCCTTCTTTGCAGGAAAAGCACAACCAAAACACCCCCGACAGATGGCCACGCAGCCTCAGCGTCAAAGCCTCCAAGGAAGGAGTTTCTATCAAACTCCGAGGCAGAGAGTTCCACTGGTGAACAGCTTTCCTGACACCTAGCCCGTCCCTCTCCTTCTTTGCAGGAAAAGCACAACCAAAACACCCCCGACAGATGGCCACGCAGCCTCAGCGTCAAAGCCTCCAAGGAAGGAGTTTCTATCAAACTCCGAGGCAGAGAGTTCCACTGGTGAACAGCTTTCCTGACACCTAGCCCGTCCCTCTCCTTCTTTGCAGGAAAAGCACAACCAAAACACCCCCGACAGATGGCCACGCAGCCTCAGCGTCAAAGCCTCCAAGGAAGGAGTTTCTATCAAACTCCGAGGCAGAGAGTTCCACTGGTGAACAGCTTTCCTGACACCTAGCCCGTCCCTCTCCTTCTTTGCAGGAAAAGCACAACCAAAACACCCCCGACAGATGGCCACGCAGCCTCAGCGTCAAAGCCTCCAAGGAAGGAGTTTCTATCAAACTCCGAGGCAGAGAGTTCCACTGGTGAACAGCTTTCCTGACACCTAGCCCGTCCCTCTCCTTCTGTGCAGGAAAAGCACAACCAAAACACCCCCGACAGATGGCCACGCAGCCTCAGCGTCAAAGCCTCCAAGGAAGGAGTTTCTATCAAACTCCGAGGCAGAGAGTTCCACTGGTGAACAGCTTTCCTGACACCTAGCCCGTCCCTCTCCTTCTTTGCAGGAAAAGCACAACCAAAACACCCCCGACAGATGGCCACGCAGCCTCAGCGTCAAAGCCTCCAAGGAAGGAGTTTCTATCAAACTCCGAGGCAGAGAGTTCCACTGGTGAACAGCTTTCCTGACACCTAGCCCGTCCCTCTCCTTCTTTGCAGGAAAAGCACAACCAAAACACCCCCGACAGATGGCCACGCAGCCTCAGCGTCAAAGCCTCCAAGGAAGGAGTTTCTATCAAACTCCGAGGCAGAGAGTTCCACTGGTGAACAGCTTTCCTGACACCTAGCCCGTCCCTCTCCTTCTTTGCAGGAAAAGCACAACCAAAACACCCCCGACAGATGGCCACGCAGCCTCAGCGTCAAAGCCTCCAAGGAAGGAGTTTCTATCAAACTCCGAGGCAGAGAGTTCCACTGGTGAACAGCTTTCCTGACACCTAGCCCGTCCCTCTCCTTCTTTGCAGGAAAAGCACAACCAAAACACCCCCGACAGATGGCCACGCAGCCTCAGCGTCAAAGCCTCCAAGGAAGGAGTTTCTATCAAACTCCGAGGCAGAGAGTTCCACTGGTGAACAGCTTTCCTGACACCTAGCCCGTCCCTCTCCTTCTTTGCAGGAAAAGCACAACCAAAACACCCCCGACAGATGGCCACGCAGCCTCAGCGTCAAAGCCTCCAAGGAAGGAGTTTCTATCAAACTCCGAGGCAGAGAGTTCCACTGGTGAACAGCTTTCCTGACACCTAGCCCGTCCCTCTCCTTCTTTGCAGGAAAAGCACAACCAAAACACCCCCGACAGATGGCCACGCAGCCTCAGCGTCAAAGCCTCCAAGGAAGGAGTTTCTATCAAACTCCGAGGCAGAGAGTTCCACTGGTGAACAGCTTTCCTGACACCTAGCCCGTCCCTCTCCTTCTTTGCAGGAAAAGCACAACCAAAACACCCCCGACAGATGGCCACGCAGCCTCAGCGTCAAAGCCTCCAAGGAAGGAGTTTCTATCAAACTCCGAGGCAGAGAGTTCCACTGGTGAACAGCTTTCCTGACACCTAGCCCGTCCCTCTCCTTCTGTGCAGGAAAAGCACAACCAAAACACCCCCGACAGATGGCCACGCAGCCTCAGCGTCAAAGCCTCCAAGGAAGGAGTTTCTATCAAACTCCGAGGCAGAGAGTTCCACTGGTGAACAGCTTTCCTGACACCTAGCCCGTCCCTCTCCTTCTTTGCAGGAAAAGCACAACCAAAACACCCCCGACAGATGGCCACGCAGCCTCAGCGTCAAAGCCTCCAAGGAAGGAGTTTCTATCAAACTCCGAGGCAGAGAGTTCCACTGGTGAACAGCTTTCCTGACACCTAGCCCGTCCCTCTCCTTCTTTGCAGGAAAAGCACAACCAAAACACCCCCGACAGATGGCCACGCAGCCTCAGCGTCAAAGCCTCCAAGGAAGGAGTTTCTATCAAACTCCGAGGCAGAGAGTTCCACTGGTGAACAGCTTTCCTGACACCTAGCCCGTCCCTCTCCTTCTTTGCAGGAAAAGCACAACCAAAACACCCCCGACAGATGGCCACGCAGCCTCAGCGTCAAAGCCTCCAAGGAAGGAGTTTCTATCAAACTCCGAGGCAGAGAGTTCCACTGGTGAACAGCTTTCCTGACACCTAGCCCGTCCCTCTCCTTCTTTGCAGGAAAAGCACAACCAAAACACCCCCGAGAGATGGCCACGCAGCCTCAGCGTCAAAGCCTCCAAGGAAGGAGTTTCTATCAACCTCCGAGGCAGAGAGTTCCACTGGTGAACAGCTTTCCTGACACCTAGCCCGTCCCTCTCCTTCTGTGCAGGAAAAGTACAACCAAAACACCCCTGACAGATGGCCACGCAGCCTCAGCGTCAAAGCCTCCAAGGAAGGAGTTTCTATCAACCTCCGAGGCAGAGAGTTCCACTGGTGAACAGCTTTCCTGACACCTAGCCCGTCCCTCTCCTTCTTTGCAGGAAAAGCACAACCAAAACACCCCCGACAGATGGCCACGCAGCCTCAGCGTCAAAGCCTCCAAGGAAGGAGTTTCTATCAAACTCCGAGGCAGAGAGTTCCACTGGTGAACAGCTTTCCTGACACCTAGCCCGTCCCTCTCCTTCTTTGCAGGAAAAGCACAACCAAAACACCCCCGACAGATGGCCACGCAGCCTCAGCGTCAAAGCCTCCAAGGAAGGAGTTTCTATCAACCTCCGAGGCAGAGAGTTCCACTGGTGAACAGCTTTCCTGACACCTAGCCCGTCCCTCTCCTTCTTTGCAGGAAAAGCACAACCAAAACACCCCCGAGAGATGGCCACGCAGCATCAGCGTCAAAGCCTCCAAGGAAGGAGTTTCTATCAACCTCCGAGGCAGAGAGTTCCACTGGTGAACAGCTTTCCTGACACCTAGCCCGTCCCTCTCCTTCTTTGCAGGAAAAGCACAACCAAAACACCCCCGACAGATGGCCACGCAGCCTCAGCGTCAAAGCCTCCAAGGAAGGAGTTTCTATCAAACTCCGAGGCAGAGAGTTCCACTGGTGAACAGCTTTCCTGACACCTAGCCCGTCCCTCTCCTTCTTTGCAGGAAAAGCACAACCAAAACACCCCCGAGATGGCCACGCAGCATCAGCGTCAAAGCCTCCAAGGAAGGAGTTTCTATCAAACTCCGAGGCAGAGAGTTCCACTGGTGAACAGCTTTCCTGACACCTAGCCCGTCCCTCTCCTTCTTTGCAGGAAAAGCACAACCAAAACACCCCCGACAGATGGCCACGCAGCCTCAGCGTCAAAGCCTCCAAGGAAGGAGTTTCTATCAAACTCCGAGGCAGAGAGTTCCACTGGTGAACAGCTTTCCTGACACCTAGCCCGTCCCTCTCCTTCTTTGCAGGAAAAGCACAACCAAAACACCCCCGACAGATGGCCACGCAGCCTCAGCGTCAAAGCCTCCAAGGAAGGAGTTTCTATCAAACTCCGAGGCAGAGAGTTCCACTGGTGAACAGCTTTCCTGACACCTAGCCCGTCCCTCTCCTTCTTTGCAGGAAAAGCACAACCAAAACACCCCCGAGAGATGGCCACGCAGCCTCAGCGTCAAAGCCTCCAAGGAAGGAGTTTCTATCAAACTCCGAGGCAGAGAGTTCCACTGGTGAACAGCTTTCCTGACACCTAGCCCGTCCCTCTCCTTCTGTGCAGGAAAAGTACAACCAAAACACCCCTGACAGATGGCCACGCAGCCTCAGCGTCAAAGCCTCCAAGGAAGGAGTTTCTATCAACCTCCGAGGCAGAGAGTTCCACTGGTGAACAGCTTTCCTGACACCTAGCCCGTCCCTCTCCTTCTTTGCAGGAAAAGCACAACCAAAACACCCCCGACAGATGGCCACGCAGCCTCAGCGTCAAAGCCTCCAAGGAAGGAGTTTCTATCAACCTCCGAGGCAGAGAGTTCCACTGGTGAACAGCTTTCCTGACACCTAGCCCGTCCCTCTCCTTCTTTGCAGGAAAAGCACAACCAAAACACCCCCGACAGATGGCCACGCAGCCTCAGCGTCAAAGCCTCCAAGGAAGGAGTTTCTATCAAACTCCGAGGCAGAGAGTTCCACTGGTGAACAGCTTTCCTGACACCTAGCCCGTCCCTCTCCTTCTTTGCAGGAAAAGCACAACCAAAACACCCCCGACAGATGGCCACGCAGCCTCAGCGTCAAAGCCTCCAAGGAAGGAGTTTCTATCAAACTCCGAGGCAGAGAGTTCCACTGGTGAACAGCTTTCCTGACACCTAGCCCGTCCCTCTCCTTCTTTGCAGGAAAAGCACAACCAAAACACCCCCGACAGATGGCCACGCAGCCTCAGCGTCAAAGCCTCCAAGGAAGGAGTTTCTATCAAACTCCGAGGCAGAGAGTTCCACTGGTGAACAGCTTTCCTGACACCTAGCCCGTCCCTCTCCTTCTTTGCAGGAAAAGCACAACCAAAACACCCCCGACAGATGGCCACGCAGCCTCAGCGTCAAAGCCTCCAAGGAAGGAGTTTCTATCAAACTCCGAGGCAGAGAGTTCCACTGGTGAACAGCTTTCCTGACACCTAGCCCGTCCCTCTCCTTCTTTGCAGGAAAAGCACAACCAAAACACCCCCGAGAGATGGCCACGCAGCCTCAGCTTTAAAGCCTCCAAGGAAGGAGTTTCTATCAAACTCCGAGGCAGAGAGTTCCACTGGTGAACAGCTCTCTGACATCTAGTCCGGCCCTCTCCTTCTTTGCAGGAAAAGCACAACCAAAACACCTTCGACAGATGGCCACGCAGCCTCGGCTTCAAAGCCTCCAAGGAAGGAGTTTCTACCAAACTCCGAGGAGGAGAGTTCCACTGCTGAACAGTCCTTTCTGACAGTCAGGTGGGATCTCCTTTCCTGCCCTGTCAACCCACGCCTCCACTGAGTTCCAGTTGAACCACACACACGCCCAGCCCAGCCCAGCCCAGCCCACCGCCTCGGGCCAAGCATTACCTCCTGGCTGAGCTTGGGATCCGCTTCCGCCTGCGCTGGCCCTTTAAGGCCGCAGAGTCCGCCTGGCCCCGCTTGGCATGCTGGGAAAAGCAGTCCTTGTCCTTCTCGAGTAAAGCAAAGGAGGCGAGTGGGAGGAGCCGCCGGGACTCGGCTTCCCAGGAGGCACTGCGCGCGTTCCCTCTTAAAGGGCCAGGCCGCCTTGTGAGGCTTTCCCACGTGGCAGCATAGAACCATAGATTTGGAGGAGACCCCAGAGGCCATCCAGCCCAACCCAGGCAGCAGGACACAATCAAAGCCCTGCCGACGGATGGCCATCCTGCCCCTGCTTCATAATAATAATAATAATAATAATAATAATAGCAGCATAGAACCATAGATTTGGAAGGAACCCCAAAGGCCATCCAGTCCAACCCCCTTCTTTCTGCCAGGCAGGAGGACACAATCAAAACATTCCCGACGGATGGTGGGAGTTGTAGCTTCTTCTCCAGTCGGAGAGCACACTGAACCCCACTATGATGCATCCAGAGCAAACTTGCCCAACTAAGGTCTGATGGAGTTTCAGGGGGTGAACCTGGCATGATGGGAGTTGTAGTTCACCCACAACCTTGTGCAATTTATTTATTTATTTATTTACTATATTTGTATACCACTGAAATCGAACATATAGACCCACCCACCCCCACCCCCGCCCATAAAAGATAGTAACTTATAGTTTTGCTAAGGACACGGACACCAGACTGGATAATACATAAGTGTAAAGGGAGGTGGTTTCTCAGTAATAAATCTGTTTCCTTCTGCTATAAATATATGAAAATAGGGCATGAAAAGTATTGTCGAAGGCTTTCATGGCCGGAATCACTGGGTTGTTGTAGGTTTTTCGGGCTATATGGCCATGGTCTAGAGGCATCTCTCCTGACGTTTCGCCTGCATCTATGGCAAGCATCCTCAGAAGTACTCACTACCTCTGAGGATGCTTGCCATAGATGCAGGTGAAATGTCAGGAGAGAATGCCTCTAGAACATGCCCATATAGCCCGAAAAAACCTACAACAACCCAGGGGAAATCTATTTAACATGGGAAGGGTCCTTGTTGTTGTTAGTGTCTTGGCAAATTGACCAAGGCGTAACCCTTATTATCCAGTCTGGTGTCCTTGTCCTTAGCAAAACTATAAGTTACTATCTTTTATTGGTGGTGGTGGTGGGGGGGGGGGGGGTCATGTTCGACTTCATTCTGACCCTATTCCCGGATCAGCCTTGCATGAAACCTGCAGGACTTCTGTCTTGTCTGGACAAAGCTTCCATTTGTTTGGGTGTGGAACCAGCTTCTCAGCGTCCAATGGAATGGATCAACAGAGCGGAGCATCATCTGCGTAGTGATGGTACCCAACTCCAAAACTCCAGATCATCCCTCCAGTGCTTTCAGGTAGACATTCAACAACATTGGGGATATTGGTGAGCCCAGGGGCGGCTCAACCCTTACGCAAAGTAAGCAGTTGCGGTAGAGTTGATGTTGCCCAGGGGCGCTCTTGAGGCACTCTTGGAGGAAAATAGTTGGGAGAAATAGTTGTAATTGCTGGGATGTAGAGCATTCTGAACTCCACCAACGTGAAGTCAATACAGACTTTAGGAGGGTCTCCCCAGTAAGAGAGACCCCTAGGACCGCACCAAAGAGGGTCCATGACCTTGGCGAGACGTCAGAGAAGCCTGATTCCAGCAATTTTATTAATATTAAGAATTGAAATGAGACTCTTGCCAAGGCGAAGAAGTGGCATCGAGGTTTAATGAGCGATTCAGCTGAAGCAGATGCAATTGCAGTGATCATTCACATGCAAGCATGCCAATACAAAGTTTGGAAGCATTTTTATAGCAAAAACATGTACAGAGATTTCAAATTTCCCGCCCTCTCTTCCCCGCCCAGCTTGAAGGTGATTGGCTGGTGGCCAAACAGCTGGGAGGAGGCTTGGCGGCCCGCCCTCAACCTGGGCCAATCACAAGGCTTCCCCGCTTCTGGGGAGCCTATCAGGAAGCTTCCCCCACTTCGGGGAATTGACGAATCAGGGAAGAGGAGGCGGGACGATCAGGGACAATGGAGAGTAATGGGATTCTGGCATCTTTATTTATTTATTTATTTATTTATTTGGAAGATTTCTCTCCCGGCCTTCTCACCTCAACTGAGGGACTCAGGTCGGTTTACAGCATATATGCAATTACAAAATATACAAATACAACCGAGTGCAACATCATTAAGGATTAAAACCACACAATAAAATACAATAAAACATCATCATTACAATTACCCAGGCCAAAACGTCAATACAATCGCAGTCGTAGTCGTAGTCACAGTTCATTAAAGATTCAGTCCTCAAAAGCCACATTCCAGAGCCAGGTCTTTAGTAATTTCCTGAAAGTCAGGAGGGAGGGGGCAGATTGGATCTCTAGTGGAAGGGAGTTCCAGAGCCAGGGAGCCACCACCGAGAAGGCCCCGTCTCTCGTCCCCACCAATCTTGAAACCTACGTGTCCCTGCGTCCGGGGGAATTCGGCCAGCTGGGGCATTGAGTTATTGTCTTGTTGATGAAAGGGTTGATTGACTTAAGAAGAGTTTTCCTGTCCCCGATCTGATAAGAGAAGTTTGCTTTGTGTGCTGGGTAAAGGAAGACGGAACTGGGCAGAAGACCCCCCAGTGGGCAGTCTAGCCTGCATTGTTTGTAATAATCAAAACTTGCCTGTAGGAAGCGTCTATCAATCAGACCAACTCAGAAAATCAATAGAAACTTCCTGTGCTATTGTCCATGCAAGAGTTTGTGGAATGTTGGTTTCGTGGGGGCAACAGCCCCCTCGGGCACTGGATTGTTTTCCTGGTCGCCTCTCTAGGGCAAGGGGCCGAGGGTAAGGTTTACTAACAGGTGCTGGGTCCAGGGAGCACACCACTCTGCTGTTACACCAGCTCCACTGGCTGCCAATTAGCTTCCGAGCACAATTCAAAGTGCTGGTGTTAACCTATAAAGTCCTAACGACTCCGGCCTGGTTTACCTCTCCGAACGTATTCCCCCCTGTGAACCATCAAGTTCTTCCGGAGGGGCCCTGCTCTCGGTCCCACCGGCCTCACAAGCGCGGCTGGTGGGGACGAGGGACAGGGCCTTCTCAGTGGTGGCCTCACGACTCTGGAACTCTCTCCCTCCAGAAGTCAGAACCACCCCAACAATCCTGACATTCAGGAAACAGGTGAAGTCGTGGTTATGGAGACAGGCTTTCGAAGAATGAGACAACGATCTGGATGGAAGACGGGGTATATTCGATATTCGAGTTTAGTATGACGACTGACCACTGTAGTCTTAAATATATGTGCTTTTTAAATGTTTTATTGTAATGTGTACTTTGATATTTTACCGATTGTATGTGTTTTTATGGTTGGAAACCGGGCTGAGTCCCTCTTATGAGGTGAGAAGCTCGGTATATAAAACTTTGAAATAAATAAATAAATAAATAAATAAATAAATGAGGCAAAGGGTGAAAGATAATTCATGGGAAAATACATACATTCAATTCATAAACATTTCATAGCAACAAAACCCCGTCTTTGTCCCACACCCCAAGTATATTTAATAAGAGGATTAATTTTGTTTGGAGGCTCTGAGTCCAGTATTTCTGAAGAAAGTTCATGGGGAGGGTCCGCTTGCAATGTTTGGAATGCCTGGTTCTAATGCTTGGAACATCTGGATTGCGAGAGTCCAACCCACGTCCTTCCGAAACTGCCTCCCTGGACGGTGTGGACGAGGTCTTGGGAGAGCGCAGGCGAGCCCCTCAAGACCTCGTGAACAGTCCAGTGATGGGTCAGCGCAAGACACCAATGCGATGCTGATCAGTCTCCATCCATCCTGCTTTGGGCTGACCTCTTGACCTGGGAGATTGGGTCTATTTGCGGGCAGAGCGATGGGGAGGGGGGAGGGAGGCCTTAAGAGGATTTCAGGGAGGCCCCGCCCCTCCCCCCTCCCCTCCTCCTTCTCTTCCCCCCTCCCATACTGAACCTCTCTTCTCTTTTGCATTGTAGGGAGGGAAGAAGGAAGGAAGGAAGGAAGACCACGAGGCGCCCAGCAAAGGCAGGAGAGAGGCGCGCGCTTCCCACTCTCTGCTTGGGCAGGGGTGATGTGGCGTGGACAGGGGCCGTAGTGGGGAGGGAGGGAGGGAGGGAGGGGGAGAAGGAGGGCTGCTTTGGCTTGGCAAGGCACATGGGCAGAGTGCGCCCTGGCATGGCTGGCATGGCATCTCGTGATGCGGTGCACAGTGGCAACAACAAAGAGGTCCTGTTCATCCAGGGGAGGGGGTGAGGGAGGGAAGGGGAGGGGAGGGTCTGCCTGCCTTTCCTGCCCCCCCCCCCCACCCTCCTTGGCTCCGGAGCGGAAGGGGGCCGCCAAGGGGGCTCAGTCTCTCTCTCTGTGTGTGTGTGTGTGCCTTGGTGGTCTTTTGTGTACCTCTCGCCCTCTCCATGGGTTGGTTGGTTGGTTGGTTTATTGGGGAGGGGTCTCTATTTCTGCAGCTCTGTCTGCAGGCAAGGAGAGAAAGGCTGTGAAGACCTCCCCTTTCCTTCTTCTTCTTCTTTCCCCTCCCTTTTTCTTCCCCTTCTTCCTCCCTTTCCTTCTTCTTTCCTCTTTTTTCTTTCTTCCCCTTCCTTTCCCCTTCTTTCTTTTTGCCCTTCCTTTTCACTTTCCTCCTCCTCCTTCCTTCCCCCTTTTCTTCCCCTTCTCCTTCACTTTCCTTCTTCTTCCCCTCCTTTCGCCTTTCTTCCTTCTTTACTTCTTACTTCCCTTTTCTTCTTCTCCTTCCTTCCTTTCCATCTTCTTTCCCTTCTCCTTTCTTCCTTTTCTGTCTTCCTTTGCTTCTTTTTTACTTTCTTTTTTCCTTCCCTTTCCTTTTTTCTTCCTCTTCTCCCTCTCTCCCTTTCCTTCTTCTTTCCTCTTTTTTCTTTCTTCCCCTTCCTTTCCCCTTCTTTCTTTTTGCCCTTCCTTTTCACTTTCCTCCTCCTCCTCCTTCTTATTCCTTCCCTCTTTTCTTCCCCTTCTCCTTCACTTTCCTTCTTCTTCCCCT